CAGTGGACGTCCTATGGCTGAAATGATGATGAGGCTGCTTTTGCCTAAATAAAGCCTTGAAAATGTATGATAGGTAATTCAGGAACACGGACATTTGGACTTACATTATTCATTACATTATTTATACACAAGTCCTGATATTAATGCCAATATCAAATGATGTGCTAAACAGTTAGTTACATAATATTTATGTAGCTTAGACCTTAAAACGGAAAGGAAATTAAGCCAGAAGCAAGTGAGCTGCAAGCACATTCAAAACTTTAAGCCGCATTTGACCAACTTTGATCCAGACGGTTTACGTAGAAGGAAATGAAACCAGATGAAATTATTCGTTTCGCTTAATACTTCAACGCATAGATTTTAAGAAGGATATCACTAAACGTACATTATAAGCAATCAATCCTACTGGAAAGGCAAAAAATATCAATGATAAGTACCTACAGCAGGCAGAGGTCCTACTGTGTATTTTCGCATGGAACGATTGTTATGTAAATAGCACAAGAACACAACCCAAAAAGAAACTAATAAAACTGCCAAACTAAATCTTCGTTTCAAATGATTCGGCAAAAAGTTTTTGATAAAGTTATTTCACTTTTTCTTCCTTCTACAACCCACAGAATAAGACGGACTAAATTTTCATTTAGTTTCAGGATACACAACTTTAATACTTTTCAACATGCACGACGACCGAGTTACCAAGAGATAAGTACTTACATCAATCTAGGTACCTACCTACTTACTTCACGCAAAGCTGATGACCGCTTGGGCAGAAAAGTTCTCGAGTGGCGACCACGGGCCGGAAGACGCAGTGTGGGCAGGCCCCACACTAGGTGGACCGACGATTTGGTGAAGGTCACGGAAGGTGCCTGGATGCGGGCGGCGCAGGACAGGTCGTTGTGGAAATTCTTGGGGGAGACCTTTGCTCAGCAGTAGACGTCATTTGATTGAAACGACCTACTTCATCTCAAAGATTCATCATCATCATCATCATCTCAGCCATAGGACGTCCACTGCTGAACATAGGCCTCCCCCAATGCTTTCCATGTTGCCCGGTTGGTAGCGGTCTTAATCTCAAAGATTAAAAGAAAATGATTTTGATATCCATGTTTTGAGCGAATAGAAGTGAATAGATGGGTGGGGTGATACTTAGACGGAATGGTATTCAATCAGATTTTGGAAGCACCGCAAGATTTGATACCGTTTCAACTGGACATCGAACTGGCTCGGCGCCAGGTCATCAGCTTAATACTTCGATCCTTTTAGATCAGTCGGAAGCTGAGGCAATACAAACTGAGAATTTACTGGCAAGGTATAATAAATTATGGGTTAAGTTAAAGTTACGTTAGAACAGCAAAAATAAAGAAAGGAGTTAAGCTCTAAATTTTTTTAGGATAGGATTTATAGCACAGTGGCAATATTTGGTAACTCGTAATAACAGCGACATTGATAGATAACAACTACACCACAGATAATAATATAATACTAGACTACACTAATAACTTAGCACCTACTTAGGTAATTATAATTATCTGCTTAAAGGTTCAGTCAAACCAACGCGATCAGTCGGCTTGCAGCGATGGCGATCAGACTTAAATGCATACTTATTGATTACTTGCCTAGCATCTCTGCACCGGCTGATCGCGTGTGGTTGCGTTGGTTTGGATGAACCTTAACTAAAGTTTTAAAACTGAACAACTCACTTTTTTATGAGTAGATAATAACTTGTACCTATTTACTGTCATAAGGTGTGATTACTGTCTCACGCTGAATTCGAACCGGCCATCAGTGTGCCTACCATGAGTTTACGTTAGGTGAGCTCGCTAGCGAATACGTCAAAAAATTCTATGAAGATTTTATTTCTTGAAAGTAGCCGCTAGGGGCGCTGCACAATATGTCATACATTTGAATGTCATTTTTTTACGCAGTCGCTAGCGAGCACACCTAACGTAAACTCATGGTAGGCACACAGCTCTTTTAATGCTAAATAGTAGAATACCTACTTTAGGTGACCCATGTTACACGGTTAGATTTATCTTATTTTTACGGTTCGATTCCTGGTAATATCCCCCTTGTCGGTGATAAATCAAACTGAATATTCTTAGGTGAAATTGCTGGGTCTACATTAACTTAAGTATCTGGTTTGGCCATCAAATGCTATAAATCATATCGTAAAGACCAATTGATTTAAACATGACACTGAATAGTTAGTTGGTAGATAGGTTTACAATAAAATAAATCTTTTGGAAAATACTGACAAAGTAACGACAAACAGCCTTTGTTTATTAAAAAGAAAAATCATACAAAATCAAAATAATTTGAATTGGCATAAGAATCATGTGAACGGTCTCTCAAAAATAAATCTATACTTCTATAATATCTATACTAGTCTATACTAATATTATAAATGCGAAAGTAACTCTTGTCTGTCTTGCTTCACGCCTAAACCACTGAACCGATTTTGATGAAATTTGGCATTTAGTTAGTTTGAATCCCGGGAAAGGACATAGGATAGTTTTTATCCCGGTTTTGAAACAGGGACGCGATCGATAAAGTTTTTCTGTGACAGACAAAATTACACGCGGGAGAAGCCTCGGGCAGAAAGCTTATAGCAAATAAAAAACAGTTTTTATTGAATTTAATAAGTTGCCTATTACCACTGATAGTCACTGCAAGAGGTAGGTACAGTAGGCCAGTTTTTCTATACATTTCACCACACTGAATTTATTCTCATCATTTCCATAACTTTAAGAAATTGTTTCAGAAGCATTTGATGCTCCATCTAAAACCAGAAGATACCTTACCTACCTACAGATTTCATTAGGTACCAGTTATGAAATGCAATAGAGAAGTTATAGCTTATTTACGATTCCCATATAAATGTACAGCGCAGTCGATATTATTTGTTATAGCGTCATCGGTTTACGGCTTGTAAATAACCGTCAACGTTTTATTAGGCACACCAATCTGCACACTATCAGCTAAGTAATAATAATATTAATATTTAGAAAGCGACCAGCCGTCGGGAACTCCGGGACTGTCCCAAAATATGGCACGAGGCACGGGAGCAGCACGGGTAGGGTTGCCAGGCGTCCGGCTTTAGCCGGACATGTTTGGCTTTTTAGGGGCTTGTCCGGCCAAATATTGTCTTGTCCGGCCTGTCCGGCTTTTGTTAGGCTTTTCACCCCCCCCCGCCCGTGACATGGTACGTTCGCGTTAGCTATTAAAAAGGTATGTCCGGCTTTTAGGGTTAAATGTCCGGCCAAATGAAGCACAGAGTCCGGCTTTTGTGTTTTTGGACCTGGCAACCCTAAGCACGGGGTCAACGTGACTTCAGATTTGTATGCCCTGTTACGTAATAGTATGTCAATGGCACCCCTCCCGTGCCGGTCCCATACTTCAGGCACTGACTGAGTTATGCACTTTATGATCTGATCTGATCTTTCTTTATGGGCTGACAGAGCTACTATAGGAGCCGCTCGACGGAAACTACTCCAAAGTCAACGCCTTGCATTGATTTTTCTTTGCAAAGCTTACAGAACTGTGAGCACGGAGGCTCTGCCAGTCCTGGCTGGTGTACTGCCGGTCGACTTATAGGTACAAAAGCGTGCGGCTATGTACTTGGCATCAAGGGAAAATATAACCTCCGATTTCTTAAATAGCCGCGACCGTTCTAAAATAAGCCGATTATTTGATTCCCGAGAAGTCGTTGAAGAGGAATTACTGGATGAGTGGCAAAAAAGATGGGATACGTCAGTCAAAGGACGTCACTTATTATAAATTCTTCCCGAATGTACGCGAACGTCTAACTAGGCGATGGATTTTGTGGCGATGGTTAGAAATCGACCATTGCTCGTCGCAGTACCTCACGGGGCATGGCAACTTTAAACATTGACTTCACGAATTCAAACTAGTTCCGTCTCCTTTTTGTGAGTGTTCCACTGATGATGTCAGTCATGAGCAGTCTGCCCATCATATCTTGTTGGAGTGTGATCTTTGGAAACATGAACGTGATATACCTAATGCTTAATTCAATACAACATACATCAATTTCCGCAATTTATTACACCGATCTTGTCGCAACAAGGGCAAATTTCCGTGCTTTTAAGCGATTTTGTGAAAAATACTATTGGCAGGTAAGTATAGTTGCTAATTGATCATTGTCCATGGTGCTTGTCACCTGTCATCCGCTTTGCAATGGAGGGAAGTCGAACCTTAATTTCGAACTCCTCCTATGTTCTTCTGATTAATTTCGTTGCGGGTCCAATTAGTTTAACTTTCCCCCGGGACAAACTTGACCTTCATTGGTTGGGTTTTTGTGGCGGTCAAGCTGTAGATCCTGGCTACACAGGAGTTGCAGTGGTGGGAACGAGAGGTGGGAATAGTCCCGTAGACCTTTATGATCTTTCAACGACTTAAAAAACATGTAGGTACCCAGAGTCGTAAAACATACGAAAAAAATCACAACACAGTTGGCAGACTGTTTAGCTAAATGTGTCAGTTAAATGATGATAAAGATTTAAGATATTCTATTTTACAAATTGTTTGCAAGAACATTAGAAACTATTTTACCTTTCCTGAAGTAAGTAAATATTTATGATAGTGAATTGTGTACTTTCAGAGGTAAATAAACCAAATAGAATACCTATTCGTGGAAATATTATTGTAAGGATTGAGGTCAAACCACAAACGTTACCCATTCAATAATAAAAAGAAATAACAGCTTAACATAAAGACATAAATACGAAGTAAGGAAAAAGTGTAGAAATGATAACAATTGTTAAGAAAGTAATAATTTTATTATTGTTTGATTGAGGTATACATAAGATTTAACACAGCATTGACTCAACCATAGAATAAAATCGAGTAATCACGTAAGTTCAGGTACTTACAAAGACATTTTAAGAACATAGGAACTAATATAAAACCCTTATAATTAAAAGCTTACCTTTAAACATAAAATACGTGAGGTAGGCTACTATTTCTAAATTCTGCATTTATAAAACTTCAATTTACTGCCATGGTAATCGTATTTCAGCACCTTCACAATAGAATTCCTTGAAACATTAGTACGACACATAACCTAGATATAAACGTAATTACTCACATATTTAGGCGTAATAACAACCCGGTCAGATTCAAATAAAATATATTCACAGTGCTATGTGGCATTGGACTTTAAACTTACTTTCTTTATAGTATGGTTCACAATCAGTTCAGGAATTTTCACAATTTGTGGTACGTTGATGTGCATGCCATGCAGAATTATTCGGGACGTTTGAATTTAAATGCAAATGAACTTTGAAGCCATAAAGCGACACTTAAAATCTTCATTAATTTTAAGATTTTATTATCATAAATGCTCAAAATGGCCGCCGTTTTATCCTCCCCACATTAATTGGTAGCATGTGCAATATGTAAAACTTAATTAAAATGAATGCCAAAACCATAGTGAGTATATAAAACAGTATAAAAATACAACTTATATTAAAATAATATTCGTAACAAAACCAATTAGAAGAAATCAAATACGTTACAAAATAGAATCAGTTAGACACCAAGGAGGAAGTGTACAAATACACACAGGGCCTGCCCTGCAAAAAATACTTTTCGACTTGACACAAAGTGATGACTATGAAACGTAAGCATTACCTACATTTTTTACGATATAATATAGAGGTTTGAAAATTACAAATTTTGTTCCTTCCTCCTTGATGAATAAAAGAAAATTATCAACTAGAAAAGTAATGGTATGAGGATCAACATTATCATACAAACTTAAAACATTTTTAACCTAATGAACACATACAATTTTAAGAATCACCATGTGATAAGTGCGCTGCGCTGCGCAACTGCGCCAAATCTTCATCTTATGGTATAAAGTATGACACAGTAAACAAAAATATAGACACAAAACATTGGGCGGTAGTATAGAGCGAAGTATAATCCAGAAATTGTAGAATAATACAATTATTATTACAATTCGACCATCATTTTCTGTAGTTAGTTTTAGATAATTTATTCATATGTAGCAAACTGTAGGCCCAGTAAGTGTATAGAAAAGAAACGCAACAATATTGATTGAACCAATAATGAATTTGATAACTTGACGCCAATTGCAGACACAAAAACTATAACATTATCTTTACGACAAATACTTACTTCTTACGTCACAGGTGTAAGAATACAGGAGCCTTCTTAAAATATTATTACTAATTTATACAGTTTAGATTCATATTTTCTACATAGACGTTTATCAGGTTTCATAGAAAAAGTACAACCAACATGTAATATTTATATTATAAAAATTGAATAAAGCAGCTCCTAGCGGTCCAACAAGGAACTACCGCGATTTTGTTTGCCACATTCCCACGCCACGGTGGCAATATTAAACATATTTTTTTTCTCTTGGCAACACATCACATTCTAAAATCACATAATCGTATTATACCGCCGATTAACATCTTGGAATCATATTACCTACTCTGACTCCGCTGTAACACTTACGTTTTCCACTTCTTGCTTTGGAGTGGCACAATTATTGGACAGATTCAGAGATGAGTCTCTACCCGCCATTTCTGGGGACTTNGGTGACTTGGAATCATCGGAGTCTCTAACTGTTGAGTCAGGCAACTCTTCTGCTTTCATTTTTGGCGTTTTACAGTCACCTGCCTCGTTTGCCGTTGTATCTGGCATCTCTTCAGCCTCCATTTGTGGGGTTTCGATTTCTTCTGCCTCCATATTCGGAATTTCAATCGCTTCTGCTTCCTTATCTGAGGTATTGGGCACGTCTTCTGCTTCCATTTCTGAAGGTGTTGTGTCACCAGCTCCATTCTCTTGGGTAGCATCTTCTGGTTGATCCTGAAAAGTAATGATGATTTATGGTTTTATTATTTTATTTCACAATGGTGACTACACGATGGCACGCTTAGAAACAATCTAGATTATGCTCGATTGTAAATAATTGCCCTCATTCCGAAATATACTTCCACTCTTGGACTTAAGTTTCTTACCATAGACATCTGATTTTCAAGGCCCAGTATTTTTTGTAGCTAACTCAACTAATTATCAAATATAAACGAATAGTAAAAAAAATGTATTAAAATTCAAGATAACCTTCGTTCAAAAAACGTATTTTGCTGATATTTAACCACTTGTCATAAAATTTTATAAAAACAACCAGTTTTAACTATGTATCAAAAAACGGGGCCTTAGATGTTAATTCGATGGAGTCGATAAGTTACATACAGGCGGCTGTGTGACCACGGCTGCAGCGTAGCAGCCGAAACGTCAAGCCGCAAGTACATAATGTAACCCAATAATATTCTATTTTTGTCGAAATGGAAGGCGAAAGTTTAAAATCTTATACATACAGGCAAATGAAAAATATTTAATAAAACTATTTCATCAAGCTTATTACCTCAGTCTTAACTTCAGATGTATCNACGCTTTCCCGCTTAAACCTCGCAACCGATTTTGATGTTTGGCATAGAGATAGTTTGAGTCCCGGGAAAGAACATAGGATAGTTTTTATCCCGGTTTTTGAAACAGGGACGCGCGCGATAAAGTTTTTCTGTGACAGACAAAATTCCACGCGGGCGAAGCCGCGGGCGGAAAGTAGAGATGAAACGGATATCCGGTAACTATCCGGTAGGCCGGATATCCGGCCTAAATTTACTATTCGGCCGGATACCGGATAGTAACTCACTATCCGGCCGGATACCGGATATTAAAAAACTACGACAATTTCCTATTAATAAAATGAAATACAATGGCTTGTTATAATGACGGCTTTTATTTAAAGTCCAAAAAGTTACAAAAAGCCATATTAAGGCCTTTTTAAAAAACTAATTTCTTTTTCTGGGCTATTCACTCTAATGACGAATACATAAATAGTAAATATCTGTTAAGTCGAAATATTGCCAAATAAAATAGGTGATCTTTTTTAACTGATGGTCTGATGTCATGATGCAGTTTAGTCAGATTACGCAGCAAGTAAACAAGTGCCGGCCAAAAAATAAAAGTGCTGTATTCTGATAGAACACGTCCGCCTTAGCATTTGTTACTATGGCACCAAAGCTGTAACACCACTGTGCATCGTAGTATTCGAGTTCTAAAAGTCTATCTTTTTAACATTTATGATTAAACTATTTACTAAAACAAATGCAGTCTTGAGTAAATCTTGCCAAAACATGGCATTTATAAATGGCTTGGCATGACTTTGGTGCCATAGTGACAAATGCTAAGGCAGACGTGTTCTGTCAGAATACAGCACTTTTTTTTTGGCCGGCACTTTTGATTTTGAACCAAAAATGTATGAATCGTGGATGATGTCCTTATCGCTATTCAATCACACACTCACGATGGCAACCGAAATCGCCCGAATTGATATGCCCCCTAGACAAGTGGCAAAATCTAACATTCTATTCGGACTGATTCGATTTTCGAAAAGTGTGTCTAGTCTAGTCTACTAATAGATACACTGATAGCGTTCGAAGCACCTAAACTCGTCACGACATGCAACGAGACAATGGGCCAACTATCCGGCCGCCGGATATCCGGCTATCCGGCCTAGCAGCTGGCCGGATATCCGGTATCCGGTATCCGGCCAAACAACTATCCGTTTCATCTCTAGTAGAAAGCTAGTAATATTATATTTTTGTCGAAATGGAAGGCGAAAGTTTAAAATCTTATACATACAGGCAAATGAAAAATATTTAATAAAACTATTTTCATCAAGCTTTTTACCTCAGTCTTAACTTCGGATGTATCCATGTTGGTAGTCTTCTTCGGACGTCTAGTCCAGGCTGTCTTCTTTAAAATCACCTCATCGAAACTCTTGATGAACGTAGCTTGATCAACGTAATCCTTTGGTTTTTTCGCTAGATATACTTCATGGACTGTGACATCTAGAACATGAAATCATTTTGAGGGATGAAAAACATAAATGTCTGGATTATTAAACTCTCATAATAAGTACCCGTCGCCGAGACATCTTAACATATATTTAAATAACTTTACAACTGGAAACTTGATAGTTCTATCAAGTTTTTCAACTTACTTTTTATTGTTACATCTGGGAATCGAACCCACCCAATATAATAGTAACTAGATATGAAGAATATTAAAATCAATCGTCATTTCACAACGACGCAAGCGACTTTGGGGCCATCCATAAAGTACGTCACACGAATTTCATGATTTTTTGACCACCCCTCCGTCCTTGTCACAGGTGGTCACATTTCTGAGACCCCCCCCTCCCTAGTGTGACGTCACATGTTTTGCAATTTCACATCGAAAAATTATTAAATTAACAGCAGTTCCGAAATTAGTTTTATTTCCATTTAAATTAAGCACTTTTTTTTTATGAAATCAACATTATATCAAAAATTTGAAACAATTGAAATGTGATGTCACAAAACTTAGGACCCCTCCCACCCCTTGTCACACCATGTCACACTTTGTCAACCCCCTCCCCCCCTCTTTACGTGTGACGTACCTACTTTATGGATGACCCCTTTTAACTAATACTGATCCAGAAAAATCATGTCAATTTACATATCGACGAACAATACTGAACAGAGTTCACTGCACTGTCCAATGTCCATACATTAAATACTAATTAAAAAATATTATTATAAATGCGACAGTATCTATATCTGTCTGTTACGCCTTCACGCCTAAACCACAACTGATTTTAATCAATTTGGTATAGAAATACGAGTCCCAGGAAAGGACTTAGGATTAGGTTTTTATCCCTGTTTTTGAAACAGGGACGCACGCTATAATTTTTTATGTGACTAAAGTTATTATGATAATAAATAAAACTGTTAATTACCAGTTCCCAAAATTTCTTGGACCATGTAAGGAAAGAGCCATCCAACCAATGGTGTCTGCCCTGACTGGTAGTGTGCCTTCTTGTGGTAGAACAACAGACCATCTAAATAAGGGCAGTTATGCTCAAATTGTGGAACCTTCATCATAAATCTGAAATCACAGAGTACATTATTTTAAGTATTAAATGTAGATATGGAAACTTGGAATGGTGTTAATCACGTATAATTAAATAGCAATTAGTGTAGTCGGTACTAATATCAAGAGATACGAATGTTGAACGAATTTCTGCCAAAGTACATACAGTTCATGACTAGAAAATTAAATTAGATAAATATTTTCAAGAAATTCCATTGCATTGCCAATGTGTAGAGCATTAGGCGTATTTTTTTAACCAAATTTTTTTTTGTATTTCCATTCTTATTTATTCAAATATTATTTCTTGTTTCAACTGACATGACTTTAAACTGTTTATTCATTTTAAAGTCATTAAAATATCATATTTTAAATACAAATCGAGTTTATAAAGTTAGAAATGTACCAACTGTTAAACTAATTGACCGGATGCAGGGGACACAATGATAAAAAATCTAATTTAACTTACTTGTTCAGCTCCTCTTTGGTGCATGGGACTTTAGGCAGTAACACAAACTTGCTTTCGTTCCTTTTGCTGACAACTCCTAGTTGTGGCATTTCACTGAACTGTGACCTCAACCAATAATCACGAAATTCCGTCTGAAATGTTATTTACTATTATTATGCAGGTATTCAAAAATATTATGAAACATTCAAAGTGAAAGTTGTTCCAATCTTCAAAATACTTACATCACAATCGGTCATAGGTTGATTGTTCCAGGCCAGAAAATCTACAACATACATGGTGTTGTTTCCCTCATAATAAAAACAATCTAACACGCAACAAGATTTTTTCGCGGTCGGTCCGGAGTATCCACCAGGTAGAGAGGAGCTCATTTCAAACTTGAACTGGCCGTACTTGGTGAAACATTTGGTTTTACCCTAAAAAATAATAATTAAACTATTAACAAAGATTTGGAATGTGAAAATATGTCAATTAAAGTGCTAAAGTAAAGGATTAAAGGCCTACGCAAAAACTAGCGCGGGCATGCATTTACATGAATAGGCTTGTGCTCCGCGGTGGGCAGCAGTCGCGTGCGCCCGCCCTCCGCTGAGTGTGTGATATGCATTCGCAATACACTGCACTGGCCACTGCTCATGCTATTTTTCGATACAGACGCATGCGTGCGCTTGCGCAAGTTATAGCGTAGGCCCTTCGGCCTTATTCTGATTAGTGTTTTAGAATTTACATATTTTAAACAATATATTTTCTTTTCTAATTGGGTATTCCAAAATAGCAATACATATGAATTTTTTACCTGATGAGCGACAACTAGCATTCGAACTCCTTTGGGACAAGGAGTCACATACCAGTTTTCTTCCAAGTCTTGAGGCCTCTCGATCATCCATTCAGACATCATAAGTACATTCTTGTAGGACAAGTTCACCTTGTTGAAACCCGCCACATAAATACTAGGTCTATAATTGACCTAAAATAATTTAAAAAGGTCTTAATAAATTGATCCAACAGATTTGAGATACAAGCCAAGAGCTTCCGCATTGTGGATAAAAAAAAATTCATTAATTCAAAAGAAAAGTAAGTATGTGATCATCATCATTTCAGCCATAGGACATCCACTGCTGAACATAGGCCTCCCCCGATGCTTTCCATGTTGATTGATTGGTAGCGGCCTGCATCAACTTAACTTTCCAATTTAAGTTAAAATTATGAAATTGTTATTGGTGAAGTAAACTAAATAATTATTTTCAGTGTATTCCTGTTGTCCCTCACCATTTTGACATTGGGGAAACAATGATACAGCGGTACAATTTACAATACAATCCCAATGTTGTTTGTCAGTACACATTATTTTTAAGTTGCCCAAAGCCTCTAATTTATGACTACAAACAGCAGAAAAGCAAGTAACGTCTCCGGATCTCAAGATTACATAAAAAAATTATATGCACCCCCAAACTAAAATTTATCGAGGTGGACTTGATCATTTTCGAATCTATGACACTCGTGCAAGTAGACGAAAAATTAATATGAAAAGTAAAATAAATCATACCCTTTTATTATTATTGAAGATGTTATTTTCTTCAACTGCATGAACAAGTTCCAATATTCCTCGGAATTGGTCTATTTTGTCGTTCCGTTGACTAAAAGAAGAGCGAGAAGACACATTAATGAATAGATATAATAATAGTGGGTTAGAAAATAATAAATAATAATCAATCATAAGTTACACTTGAGAGTTGTAACAAAGCTAGTGAAGACCCCATAAGATATTTGTGACATCTATTTTTATCTTGATTAGACCAGCAGCTCCAGATAATACAGAGTGTAAGAACCAAGGTTTCGCATCAACTATTGTTCGTTCGTTTGTTTTAGCCCAATGACATCCACTGTTGGTTAAAGGCCTCCCCCAAGGTTTTCCACAATGAACGGTCCTGCGCTACCCGCATCCAGGCTCCTTCCGCGACCTTTACCAGATCGTCAGTCCACCTACCCTTCCAGCCCATGGTCGCCACTCAAGAACTTTTCTGCCCCATTGGCCATCATTTTTACAAACTATGTGCCCCACTTGATTTTGGCAATTCTGTAAGCTATATCGGTTCTCTTGCGGATCTCGTCATCAACTATACCTTCTAATTAATAAAATTTAGGCTTGCAAAGTCCAAACTGGATCTCTTAGGGGTGCAAGTTTTGAAAGGACTTTGTGGCTTTATTGACATGGTATTTTTTATATTGTTTTTGTATTTATATTGTGATCTTACTCTGTAGTAAAAAAAGAATTATGAATTTAGGTACAGGTAGTACCCTCATGCATTAGGCATACAAATCAAGTACTGTTAGTGTTTAGAGAGAAAAATACCACAGTTTAGTGTTCAGGTAAACGGGTTTACTTTTATATTTACTTTTATAAATATGTACTTAATTAGTCCAGCTTAATGACAGTTGTTTCAAAACAGTAGCTAAAAGTGCGTGGTGTTTTACTAAGATGTCGTCAACGCTTTACTTATGTTTAAAGTTTAATATTATTGAAATTAAATGCTTACCATTTCTGGACTTCCAATATTTCCTTCCGTCTTTCTTCTTGGTTGCTCAACTTGCCCCAGTTTTTGTAAAGAGTTTCATATTCTGACTTTGGCGGTTCAGGGTTGATGATAGCAGACTCCATTTTGTCCAATAATTCATCCATTCTGAATGTTTTTAAACTACCTTTAATTTACTTGAAAATCACAAGAAAATAAATTTTCAAACTGCCCTCGACCTCAACAAGTAAATAAATGTTGTTGATTGATGAATGAGTGACTATTTATTACGTACTCTGTGAATGAGTGATCAGTAGGGATGTGAAAAAATGATCGATTATGGAAAAAAATATTAAAGATCGATTATTATAAATTAAAAATTGATTTAAAAATGTGTTTTTTTTTATTTTATAATCAATTAATAATCGATTTTTTATAATCATTCAATAGATGCACCCCGATATTACGTTTTCTGGCTCGGAGCCCGGAACGCGAATTGCCAAAGAATACTATCATAGCTCCATAATATTACATTAACGCCATCCGCTGTGCATTCATGATGGCATTCCTTCTGTGCTTTTGAAACAGTTTAGTTGATTAATTTAATCAAACATTCACTAGATGGAGTTAAACGATGAACTGTACTATTTTACCGACATTCGCTTGATCGTTATTCGTTGCTGAAACTTCATTTTTCAGACAATTTAAAAGGTTTTCATGACAAAAAGTTTTTAGTGTTTTAAAAGTCCCGTTTTTTACAATGTCTACGACTAAAAGAACGACAAGTAGTTGGCGTCAATATTTTCTATTTATATAATAAAATCGATTATTTTCTTAAGAAAAATTGATTAATAAAAAATCGATATTTCTTTTATTATATTTACAATTAATTAAAACTCGATTTTTTATCTACAATGTCACATCCCTAGTGATCAGTGAATATAACTGAACGAAGCAGGGAAGCTAAAGTCATTCATTCGTTCACTGATATATGACGTATTATTCAGTGTTACCTACCTATGAAACTATTTACCCCTACGAAACAAAATGGAAATAAGCAAAGACTGTTATAAAATGTCAATATATTTCTTCATACATTTATTCATTGTCTAATTTTAATATTATCATCTTTCAAGGAAGGAATACCATACCCAGCGGTATTCTAAACTAAGTCTTTTTTTGAGACAAACGGGCATAGCTGAACCCTAATCGTAGTGCGTATTATACTCACTATAATAATGTTAGCCTATATTTCATAAAGTTGTGAATGCATAATAGTAAAACGTTTATTTTATTTGAATCGAGAACAATAATGTCTGTAGAAACGTCAAAAGGATTTAAGATACTATTTAAATAGATCAATGCTATTTATTTCAAGAGATGTAGTTTTATTTTGTTTTAATGATACTTACAATAAAGTCAATGATTTTTCAAAATAGATATTTAAAAGATTTGAGAGTTTGTGAAAACTTTGTGTCATGCGGAAAATTTGACTAACTTTAATTGTGTCACAGAAATAATTTTTAAACCTATTATAATCAAGGCTTCCACAGACTGAAGCAGTGCGGGTCAGTTGCATTGCAGCGCGGCAGTAGTAGGCACACTGAAGGCAGCGGTAGTTTCAAAGCAGTTGCAACGCGGGCGGTTGTAACAAAATACAATATTCGTAAACCACTTTCAACGCGCTGCGCTGCACTGCTGCCGCTCTGCCTCCGGTGAGTCATGCTAATCCAAAAAAAAACATAAATATAAAAAAAGAGAGCCAAGTTTAATACAAAAATTATGCTTGGCTGTGGGCTTCGCCGCAAAAATAATGGAGATCTAAATAAGTGCCAAGTTCTAGGTAATAGGTTAGATTTGACTTGTTTAATTACATCAGTAATTTTTTAAAGTTATGCAACATAAAATATATTTTTTTGATTCTGATAAAAACTGGCCGCGCTCCCGCGCCGCCTGGTTTGTCGTTTGGCAGTTGCAGTGCGGCGCGGCGCGGAGCGGTTGAAGAGCCGGCCCGCGTTCAAATTTGGTGTGACGCACTTCAAAGAGTTTCTTGTATTACAACTTGCGGCCCGCATTCGAACTGCGCTGCTACTGCCCCGCGTTTGGTCTGCCGAAGCCTCTCTGTAACTGAAAATTATTATTTATGTAATAAGTAAAGTGCAAGTGATTGACGTTATTCACTTAATACAGACCACATCAGAAGACTGGAGATTTTTCAGGAAGTCGCGGAGAAGGGTTTATTATATTGTGTTATGCTCTTGGAAGAAAAGTGTAGCACAATACTTGATGCCTATAATCTCGTTTAATACAGAGCTTCAGATTTTTAGGAACAGGTCATTAGACATCCAAAAAAGTATTGAATTAATTTTGTGATAATCATTTATTAGGTAAATGATATAATACCTACTTTGTTTGGGAACATTTCCGATACATGATAATAAATCCTGTGTTTGATTTTTTTTATTTGTAATTATTATTTCTATAACAATAAATTATTGTAAAGCTTTTGTGTTAGGCACTTAAAATAAAAAAATAAGTAGACTAAAATGGTAATTATAAGATAAACGGTCTTAAATAATATTAAGCTATCCTTCAGCAGAATTTAATTATTATACTGTACTTCGCGGACTTCAATAAAAAACTTAAAAGGAAACAATTTATTTCATCGTACATCGTTTTGTTAAACCACACAACACAAGTAAGTGAAAAAAAATAAAGAAAACCATATCAAAATCTGTTGATCTAAATGTGTGTTCATCTTAATTAATTTCATATTACGTAGGCTTTTCTCAGACATAATTATTATACAAGTATTTGAATATTGAAAATCTATTGTCATTAACCTTTTCGAAATACATAAATAAATAGTAAGATTTTAAAAATGTATGAAATCTGGACATATCGAGAAATAGTCCAGTCATTTAAGCTTAAATTAGGTAAGAATCTCGGAATTCGAGATACCCAGCTGTAAGTCTGTAAATAGTTGTATATTGACACCCTAAAAGTTGTCCCAAAACCTACATATGGTAGGGTGTAAGCAACTATTAAATTTTAAGGTCAAAGGTCACAAAAATCGTTTTTTTGCGCTTTTTTTGGAAATATCTCATTTCCTATGGGTTTTTGCTATTTGTATTTATTATCAATATTGTAGAATACAAAATTCTCTACAAATTTTGTTCAAAAACATTTTTTATACGGTGAACCGTTTTCGAGATAGAGGGCGGCCGCTAGTAGGTACTTATAAAAAGTCTGTAGAGAGGTCAATTCTGTACATGAAATATATTTTCAAAATAAATATCAGGGGGTGATTAGTAATCGATACTGATGCCAAAAATGCAATCAGTAAAATTTTTGTCTGTCTGTCTGTTCGTCTGTATGTTCCTTATAGCAACAAAAACTACTCGACGGATTTTAACGAAACTTGGTACAATTATTCTTCATACTCCTGGGCAGGTTATAGTATACTTAGGAATTCCCACGGAAACAGGAATTATCGGGAAAATCCTTTTGTATGAAAAATCTCAACCGCTTAAGTTAGACGCTTGAAATTTGGCATGTAGGTACCTTAGTAAACAGCTTAGTTACAACAAGGAATTCCCGAAATTCCCTCGGGAACGGGAATTAGCGGGAAAATCCTTTTGTATGAAAAATCTAAACCGCTCAAGTTGACCTGAAGTGATGCAGTGACCGCGCGCTCTCCGCCCTCTATCTCGAAAACGGTTCGCCGTATAAAAACGTTTTTTAAACAAAATTTGTAGAGAATTTTGTATTCTACAATATTGATAATAAATACAAATAGCAAAAACCCATAGGAAATGAGATATTTATAAAAAAAAGCGCAAAAAACAGATTTTTGTAACCTTTGACCTTAAAATTTAATAGTTGCTTACACCCTACCATATGTAGGTTTTGAGACAATTTTTAGGGTGTCAATATACAACTATTTACAAACTTACAGCTGGGTATCTCGAATTCCGAGGTGAACTTACTATAATGACTGGACTAAAAATGGTACACCGGTACAGTAGTGCTAAAAACTATCTTCTTCAAACATGAATGAAATTTGAATTTACCGCCCTTTGAAAACCAAATTTCGCAACAGTTAAAATGTCTTAAATAATTTATTTGATAATTTACAAGATTAATGCCATATAAAATCTAGTGTTAGAGTTATTATTGTATAATTTACCACTAAATAATAACTTATTTTGATATGGATAGCTTATTTATGCAGTACATATTAGTGATGCCGTTTAAGATTTATTTCCTGTTATAGTGGTAAATCTTGAAAAATAAACCCTATAAGATTTTTTAAAATTATATTTTATCTTTGTTAATTGTTCGTCTTAATTAAAAAAATTAAGAATTAAATTTATAACAAAATAATGTTAATTTGACTAGACCTTTTTTTCCAGAATTGTTATTAATATTTGGCTGTGTAGTGTTGTGAAATTTACAATAAAGGGGCTTGAAAATTAAAGATCATATTCGTTTAATCTGATAAAATATAAGAAATTCTCATAAAGGTTAAATTTCTTTTTAATTTCACAATCTTTTATTTAAACTGCTTAATCGGGTGATTTCAGAATCAAACTGGCAACATTATTGCTAGGATACGAGTTTTGCCGAACGTTTTTCTATTGGATGCCGAGAATAGCCGAACGAATGATTAGGTCACGTGGTACTTTTGGAGTCTTCGTGGCGTAGCTTGTTCAGCTGCTCGTCGAAGCGGCTGTCGGACGGTCGCCTCTCAGCGAGTCGGCGTACAATGTAGCGGCCATTTTTGTTCTTTAGTTCATTTTAGCGTGCGCATATTTTAATGTCTTTAGAAGGATATTCAGGCAATTATCACGATGACTATAATAGTCTTTTTAATAGATACGTCTGCTTCTATGAACCAAAGAGCTTATTTGGGCGGACGCCCAACGTTGCTCGATGTAGCCAAGGGCGCTGTGGAAACGTTCGTGAAGGTACGTGCAGTGTCATCGACTCGTCAACCGCCTCGTTTTGTGATCGATTTGTTTATCGCGTGTTAGTGTGTTAACTGATTTAATTCTAATTCTTTAGGTTCGTCAGCGGTCTCCCGAAAGCCGAGGCGACAGATATATGCTTCTTACTTTCGAAGAGCCACCCGCGAACATCAAGGTTAGTATAGCAAAGTGAACACGTTATCGAGGATATTGTTGTTGTTTGAGCTGTTGGTGAGGTGGCCGCAGCCGGTCTCGTGGGGTCCACCTGTAAAGCACTAATAATCTGCAATCCAGAACATAACATAGGTGGGAAAATCCGAAATTGACTGAAATAGACAGCACGACGTAAACAGGACGAACCACCGCCGCCGTTGCTGCCTTCTGATAGCGCTAGCGACTGCGCTCTCGTCGCATTCTCATTGGCCACGCCAACACACAACGAAATGGCGCTTTGGGGGGGAAATTTAAAACAGCGCAGTTAGAAGAAATCGCCACTATTAGTTACGCTCACTAAATTCTTATAAGTTTAACATGCTCAAACATTAAGCACTTTCATCCTATTAAATCTTTAAGAACTATTTAGGTATTATTAAAAAACACAAACAATGATAACAAGACATACCTATTACACATTTAGTTAGATAGCTATAAAAATGTGTGAATAATGATGTCAACAATATTAATGTATGCTTATAGGCAGGCTGGAAGGAGAATTTAGCGACATTTATTAATGAATTGAAGAATTTACAATGCCTTGGTCTCACTACTATGGGTGCAGCTCTGAAACATGCTTTCGATGTCTTGAATATAAATCGTATGCAGACTGGAATCGATACATATGGCCAAGGCAGATGCCCCTTTTACTTGGAACCATCTGTTATAGTTGTTATAACGGATGGAGGAAAATTATCAAGTAATGCTGGCATTCAGGAAGAAGTGAGTAACTTATATTATTATTGGATTTGATATCAAACCCATATTATGGATTTTTGAGTTAAATATTTATTAAAATTTTGATTAAATTATTTTGTTTTTCCAAAAATCTTAATGAATTTATATACTATACAATATTTCAAACATGTAGTAAACTGAAGCACTATAACCATAATAAACGTACTTTGAATTTGTTAATGCTATCGATGCTATCTTATATTTAATAGCTTGCAAATTCAATTATTAAGTTAACTTTATTGCAATAAGATTACTATGAGAGGTGCTGCTTTAATGTCCATTGATACTGAATTATGACCAGGGAATGGGTCAATAATATTTTATTTAACAATAGGTTTCCAAAAATTAAATTTTTCCTTCACAGTTCAATCTGCCTATGAACTGCCCAATACCTGGGTCCGAACTGACCCGAGAACCATTCCGATGGGACCAAAGACTTTTCTCACTGGTGCTTCGTCTGGCTGGTACACCTGCAGTGGAGAGGGATACTGGACTGGTGCCTTCAGACTCGTCGCCCATTGATGCCATGTGTGAAGTTACTGGTGGTGAGTTATCTCAATTAATTTCTTTTTTTTTCCTTTCAGCAAAATGACGCCCACTTCTGGACAAAGGCCACTCCCAAAGATTTTTACAACACCTGGTCCTGTGCTTAATTAATCTCATATGACAACTAGAGTCATGATTTTGTAGTGGTTTATACATTCATGTTTAACTATCTTTTATCTCTAACTTTGTTGGAATTGGTCACGAATTTCTTTTAAATTCACAAAGACCGCATGGTGGGAAGTTAGCTAGATAACTATACTGTGGCTTGCTGTGTACCACCACATAAATAAATATAACTCCTTTTTTCAACCTCTACGAATGACGACGACTATTAGTTTTTTTATATTTGCCCATTTTATAAAAAATATACTAATAAAAAAAAAACTTGTTTGATTCTGATTGGTCACTATTTTGGAATCTGTTGGCGCCAAAATGCGCCATTATTTTTTTTAAATTAACGATATAAAGCTATAAGCGTTAAAGCTGTGATTAAAAACTTTAATCTGCTTTTATTTATGTCATTTACGCTACATTGATCATTGTCAAACTTACGCAAACCCATTTAGATACGTCATAGTAAAGTGGGCGTGGCTGCCTGTGTTTCCGTTCTACATAATGTGTCCTCTCGAGACTTCAGTACCCCAACAAAGGTTTTGGGAACATGACATCTTTGCAGGCATGTTTTCAAGCTTTTAGAGGCATCGTCGAATCGTCATTCATCATAATGCAATATTTTTTTGCATTTAAGCAGTATCTACCTCAATCTCAAAGAATTCGTTTCGCCAGTGACGACGTCGCAAAGTATCTCAAATTGTTCAATCTTCAAAGTTGTCCCACTCTTGTCATAGGGTCGTAGGACTTGTAGTCCCGGCGAAGATGACATTGATGATTCCATTATAAGCTCGAAGGAGGAAGATAGCATCAGCAGACCATTCCAATGAGGTTACAGGAAATGTACTATTAGGATTCCAATTCTCATGCGAAAACACATAAATCATTTACGAATTCCTTTCAGATATTTGAAAATTCATATCATATGCTTTTCTATGAAAATACTTTCGAACGTTTATTTGCCACCGGCCACTGCAGTCTGGGTCGGATCGCCTTCGAAACGTTTTTTTTATACTAGCATAGTCCGCGTCAATTCCTTCAGCAATTTCGTAAAATATACAGTTGTTAAAATAATATCGAGACTGCAGTCACAGTATTTCACTAGCAATCATAGAGAGGTTTATTCGCAACACTAGACGAATAGCTTGGCGTCAAGTTAGTCGGCCTTTGTCCCTAAGATTACTTAGTCTGATTAGAGTACCATAACTACGGGACTATTCCCATCGCTGCAACTCTTGTGTAGCCAGAATCTACAGCTTGACCGCCAATACAATAAAGAGTACCTATACTAGTTGAACTAGACTCAAGTTACTAGAGTTGCTGCCAATGAGATCTGCTGTTATCTCTTGGATGAAATAGATCGTTACACGTTTTCTGCTCCAGTATAGTCGGCTGTTAGCGTTTCTAGTACAGTTTCAGACATTTTTAAGATTGGCGATTATTCTCTACATCTTAAGCTTTGTTAAGCTGTCCTATTTTTAAACGGATTAAATATTAATTAAGTTCATCTCACTCTCATCGTTTTATGAAAGGCGTAGGCCGAAGCCGTCTTCACAGTGGGTTGTAAAATTATTTTCCTATATCCATAAAATGATTTGAAATCCACACCGTAATTTTTAGTCTCAAGAGATTTTTTAATAAAAATAAGTAGGCAAGGTTTATTAGGTAATTAGGTTATTCATTTATAGAAAATGGTGGTTTTTAAAATCTAGGCCAGCAATTTTAAGTAAATGAGACATGTATAATATTATAACACAAAAATATTTAATGATGCGATGTAAAATTACACTGTAATTAGATCGATTTACGATTATTATCGTCCCTGATTTCACGTATTTAAATTTTGATCAATTCCAANCATTCCAATCATGTTCCTATCGCAATAGGTTTCCAAATTAAAATTTGTGTTTCAGGTTCTAGATAATTTTACAAATACAATTAATTTTAAAAATAAAGGGGATTACTGCGAACCGAAAGCATTATAATAATGATTGCGCTTTGAGTCTCTATCATGATAAATATAAAGGATTAGCCAGAATATGTGTGAGCCCTTTACTACCTGTCTAACTAGTTTTTGTATAGTTCACGGAGTGTCAAGGTGTTCTGTACTTCAGTATTAAAACTTAAAAGTATAGTTGCTTGAAATCTAAATCTTACGCATTCCATCATAGTTGAAGGTCGGATTTATCTTTACCATAATTTTTGACTTTCTTATTATAGTAGGTACAGTCAGCGTCAAATATTTCGTGACACCCAAGTAGCCAAAAAGTTTGCAACACGTCTTTGTTACAATTGGAATAAGGTTGTGTTGTCAACTTTGTGGCCACTTTGGGTGTTACGAACTATTTGACGGTGACTGTACATTATAGTATAATCTGAATATGTAATACTGGCTATCATTTTTGCCGACAAATTGATGATATTCCTTCCCTTGCAGCGTTTTGAAAGGTTATTATTTAGGAATATCCTCTTGTCGCGATCTGTTATCCAGTTTTGTGATATTCATAATTTAAAGATATCTTCAAAGAGTGTACTTATGTAATCTATGCTCATAAATAATTAATAATGGTGTTACGGTTTAATGATTCCTCAGTAGGTTTACAGATTAAACACTCGATGTATTTTAAAGCAAAGAATTTTGCATGCCTTGAGTTTTGAGCTACAAAAGCTTCTGTCTCTATAAAAATAAAAATACTTTGATAAAAAGGATAATAGGTACTCATTGAGTATTATCAGTTATACACGGTTCCGAAATATCGAACTAGTAAGGTAATTTTGCAGCAATGACACGGTAAAATTTTAAATTACACACATGCAGGAAATAAAGATTTTTACGATAATGTAAACATTATGCACATAATGTCTACCTACCAAAATTCTGCATGAAACATTAGCTTTTTTCATAGCTCTATCTATATTTATAATACCTACTACTATTAACTGAATTTCAGGACACATTCATGAATGGCATGATGCAAACGAGATAAATATACAGTGACTTAGAAAATGTTTTTCTTTTATTTCAACCTAAAGCCGTCCACTGCTGGACAAAGGCCTCCCCACTGATTTCCACATCGATCCTGCGCTGCCCTAACCCAGGTGCTTCACTCAACCTTCACCAGATCACGACAAAGTATTTACTGTATTCCTATTCGGATTATTCCCAACTGGACCCAATTTCATATTTATGTAGATAATAAAAAGAAGTGATAATGATAATAATTTTATCTTCCTGCACATTTATGTACAACTAGCTTTTGCCCAGGGCTTCACCCGCGTTATATGTTAATCTGGGTTATAAACAATAATACTGTAAAGTTTCATCAAAATCAAATCCGTTCAGTAGTTTTTGCGTGAAAGAGTAACAAACATCCAGACTTTCGCATTTATAATATTAGTAGGATTAAATGCTGTTGAAACATTGTCAAAAAAATAAAAAATAAAATAAATAAATATGTACTCGTATTTTTCTTTCTGATAGTACTTTTTACCTTTTCGTGCCCAGTTGGGAATTTTTGGTAGGTATTTATCTGTCGTGTCCAGTTTGGGACGTATGAAGTTGGGAATAGGCCTCCTATTCTGACAATTATTCCCTTGCTTCAGGCCGATCATACTGCATCACCTCACACCGCATGTTGATGCAGTGCATTGACAGCTTGGTGCAGAAAGTGCAGAGCGGCGTCGTCATCAACTTCGAGAAGATTGGCCCCGACCCGCCGCCCATAGATGGAGGGAACAATAGGGAGGGCGAGCAGGGCGACGATATGAACCACGATATCGATAAGGAGATGGAGGGAGACAGCGAGAGGAATGGGGTTGGTATCTTTAAAAAAAATATTTATTTCATCAGAACTATCATCCATATAGATCAGAACTATGATCCACATCATCCATATAGAGTCAGAGTTGCTTAATGATTAAGTTTGTATTTTATTTCTGATGTGTATCAGATCATTAGATAATCCTCACTGTCGGCTATTTGCTTAAGTGCTCTTAAGAAAACTTTAGCTTCACTTGCTATTGGGGATCGGACAGTATTCAAAATTGATTTCTTGAACCCATAAAACGACGATTTTAAATTATGTGTGAAAATCTATCATTTATTTTATTTGATTTGAAAGGTCAGTTGACTTTGAAAAAACAAAACCTACAAGTGACGTCACAGTTGGCTATTAATTGACTGGTGATGTCACATCCCCTATTAGCGCCTTTGCCCAGAGATAGTCGCACTGCAATCCATTATTTACGGCGACTACATGTTTTGAAGAAAACCTTTGTTTAATCGTCTTGCTTGCTCAATAATAACATGTCACTCTGAGTAGAAAGAAGTAGCACCTCTTACAGCCTTCAGAAACGCAGCACCGGTTCTAAGTAGTAATGGTTATCTGTTTAGCTCTTTTGTGCATTTATTTTTTTCTTTTGTCTGCTACATTATGGTGACTTGAGTATTTGTGCTGCTTCGTCTCAATAACACTTATTGTTCCGTTCCGTCCGATGCAGCAGTAGAGTTAAAGTAATACCGAGACGTGTAAATGCGCTTTTCTAAAGCCTATTTTCAGAATAAAAAAAGACTTTTATTACAATAACATTTTATTGTTTGTAGCGCTGGAACGGTGGCCCGTACCAAACGGGGATGCCCCCGAACCAAGGCCAGAGTGCACCGCAGGCGTGGCACTCCTGTCGGCGGCTCATCTACGTGCCCCGCACGGTCGCTCAGAAGGGATTCGCAGTTGGCTTCTGGCCCATACCGGAGTCTTTTAGGCCAGACCCGAATGCGCCCGCTTTGGTGAGTGTAAATTTCGATTTTATTTTGTATATTATCATATCAATGTAAAAACTCTGGAGTACCTTTCGAATTCGATTTTTATCGTGTGGCTAGTGACCTATCACAAAAATGAGACTAGACTGCTCTAGACGACAATTTGTAGCAGCAGCAGCAATCAGCAGCGTGTGACGTGGGACAATCGGACCAACTGCTTAACCTGCCTTTTTTTTTAGCATTTTCATATTTCTCGCATGCACAAAGTGATTTTCTTATTTCAAAATCGAACCCGAAGCGAGTCTTACTCTCATACCACTGGATCACAGAGACCACTAGCCATATCAATCACAGTTATGTTCATATTATTAGTTAGTCGAAGAGGAATTACAAGAATAAAAGAGAGACAATGGATTTTTGTTAGCCAATTAATAAAAATAGCTTATTGATTTGATCCGCCCGGAAGTCGCATCCGTTCTCTTGTGCTTCAGGCGATTCGAAATGTATATAGTAGGGAATTTAGTGCAAGAACCCATCCACTTTGGTATAGAAGGCTCATTTTTGCAACAGTGGTTCTTTGGGTGCTCCTGAGTGGATTTCCGTCGGTAGACATCGGGAGCCCCCCCTGTGGTAGCAGGGGGAGGGGGGGCAAGTTTCNAATTCCAATCATGCTCCTATCGCAATAGGTTTCCAATTTAAAATTTGTGTTTCAGGTTCTAGATAATTTTACAAATACAATTAATTTTAAAAATAAAGGGGATTACTGCGAACCGAAAGCATTATTAATAATGATTGCGCTTTGAGTCTCTATCATAATAAATATAAAGGATTAGCCTGAATATGGGTGAGCCCTTTAAAACCTGTCTAACTAGTTTTTGTATAGTTCATGGAGTGTCAAGGTGTTCTGTACTTCAGTATTAAAACTTAAAATATGTTGCTTGAAATCTAAGTCTTACGCATTCCATCTTAGTTGAAGGTCGGATTTATCTTTACCATATTTTGGTCTCTCTTATTAAAGTACAGTCAGCGTCAAATATTTCGTGACACCCAAGTAGCCAAAAAGTTTGCAACACGTCTTTGTTACAATTGGAATAAGGTTGTGTTGTCATGTCAACTTTTTGGCAACTTTGGGTGTTACGAACTATTTGACGGTGACTGTACATTATATTATAGCATAATCTAAATAGGTGCGGGCTATCATTTTTTGCCGACAAATTGATGATATTCATTCCCTAGCAGCGTTTTTTAAAGGTTATTATTTAGGACCCTCCTCTTGTCGCGATGTGTTATCCAGTTTTGTGATACTCATAATTTAAAGATATCTTCAAAGAGTGTACTTATGTAATCTATGCTCATAAATAATTAATAATGGTGTTACGGTTTAATGATTTTCAGTCGGTTTACAGATTAAACACTCGATGTATTTTAAAGCAAATAATTTTGCATGCCTTGAGTTTTGAGCTACAAAAGCTTCTCGGTCTCTGTCTCTATAAAAATAAAAATACTTTGATAAAAAGGATAATAGGTACTCATTGAGTATTATCAGTTATACACGGTTCCGAAATATCGAACTAGTTAAGGTAATTTTGCAGCAATGACACGGTAAAATTTTAAATTACACACATGCAGGAAATAAAGATTTTTACGATAATGTAAACATTATGCACATAATGTCTTGTCTACCTACCAAAATTCTGCATGTAACATTAGCTTTTTTCATAGCTCTATCTATGTTTATAATACCTAGGTACTACTATTAACTGAATTTCAGGACACATTCATGAATAGCATGATGCAAACGAGAGAAATAGTGTCTTAGAAAGTGTTTTTCTTTCATTTCAACCTAGAGCCATCCACTGCTGGACAAAGATTTCCCCACTGATTTCCACATCGGTCCTGCGCTGCCCTAATCCAGGTGCTTCACTCAACCTTCACCAGATCACGACAAAGTATTTACTGTATTCCTATTCGGATTATTCCCAACTGGACCCAATTTCATATTTATGTAGATAATAAAAAGAAGTGATAATGATAATAATATTATCTTCCTGCACATTTATGTACAACTAGCTTTTGCCCAGGGCTTCACCCGCGTTATATGTTAATCTGGGTTATAAACAATAATACTGTAAAGTTTCATCAAAATCAAATCCGTTCAGTAGTTTTTGCGTGAAAGAGTAACAAACATCCAGACTTTCGCATTTATAATATTAGTAGGATTAAATGCTGTTGAAACATTGTCAAAAAAATAAAAAATAAAATAAATAAATATGTACTCGTATTTTTCTTTCTGATAGTACTTTTTACCTTTTCGTGCCCAGTTGGAATTTTTTGGTAGTTATTTAATGTCAAGTTGGGGACGTGTCAAGTTGGGAAGGAGCCTCCCATTCTGACAATTATTCCCTTGCTTCAGGCCGATCATACTGCATCACCTCACACCGCATGTTGATGCAGTGCATTGACAGCTTGGTGCAGAAAGTGCAGAGCGGCGTCGTCATTAACTTCGAGAAGATTGGCCCCGACCCGCCGCCCATAGATGGAGGGAACAATAGGGAGGGCGAGCAGGGCGACGATATGAACCACGATGTCGATAAGGATATGGAGGGAGACAGCGAGAGGAATGGGGTTGGTATCTTTAAAAAATATTTATTTCATCAGAACTATCATCCATATAGATCAGAACTATGATCCACATCATCCATATAGAGTCAGAGTTGCTTAATGATTAAGTTTGTATTTTATTTCTGATGTGTATCCGATCATTTGATAATCCACTGTCGGCTATTTTCCTAAGTGCTCTTAAGAAAACTTTAGCTTCACTTGCTATAGGGAATTGGACAGTATTCAAAATTGATTTCTTGAACCCATAAAACGACGATTTTAAATTATGTGTGAAAATCTATCATTTATTTTATTTGATTTGAAAGGTCAGTTGACTTTGAAAAAAACAAAACCTACAAGTGACGTCACAGTTGGCTATTAATTGACTGGTGATGTCACATCCCCTATTAGCGCCTTTGCCCAGAGATAGTCGCGCTGCAATCCATTATTTACGGCGACTACATGTTTTGAAGAAAACCTTTGTATAATCGTCTTGCTTGTTCAATAATAACATGTTACTCTGAGTAGAAGTAGCACCTCTTTCAGTCTTCATAAACGCAGCACCAGTTCTAGGTAGTAATGGTTATCTGTGTAGCTGTTTTGTGCATTTCTTTCTTTATTTTGTCTGACAATGGTGACTTAAGTTTTTTGCGCTGCTTCTCCTCAACACTATCTGGCCCATTTATTGTTCCGATGCAGTGGTAGAGTTAGGTCTGGCCGAGCAGAGCGGAGGTGTCGAGCCGTCAAATTTTTCTATATAATTTTGCAGCCGCGCGCTTAGTCAGATTGGTTATTCAAAACAGTTCTCCGCTCTCTTCCGCTCCGCTCCGCCTTGGTGGAAATCGGGCCTTAAAGTAATACCGCGACGTATAAGCGATTTAAAAAAAGCCTATTTGCAGAAAATTTTATGGCTTTTATTACAATAACCTTTTATTGTTTGTAGCGCTGGAACGGTGGCCCGTACCAAACGGGGATGCCCCCGAACCAAGGCCAGAGTGCACCGCAGGCGTGGCACTCCTGTCGGCGGCTCATCTACGTGCCCCGCACGGTCGCTCAGAAGGGATTCGCAGTTGGCTTCTGGCCGATACCGGAGTCATTTAGGCCTGACCCGAACGCGCCCGCTTTGGTGAGTGTAAATTTCGGTTTTATTATCATGTTCTTTTTTGTATTAATTTAGGTGTCTATCTTTCGATGTTATCGATATCGTGTGGGTATGATCTGTCGTAACACTAGTGTGTGGACGAAAAGAGCCGCTAAGGTGTCTCACATCTCTCACACACACACAACCGCGCCTGCCTTTCGAAGCTATATATTTCGAATTTTTTCCTTTCGGACAGTTAGATTTCAAACCTAACCTAATTAAACGGACTGTGACCCGCATGAACAAAGATTTTTGTCTTTAATTATTTTGGAAATCGAACCCAGAATGTCCGAAACGAGAGAGTCTCACTCTCACATGGACTACGGAGGCGCTAGACTTGACCACTAGCCACATCAGTCACACTTATGTTCATATACTAGTTAGTCGAAGAGGAATTGCAAGAATAAAAGAGAGACAATGGGTTTTTGTTAGCCAATTAATAAAAATAGCTTATTGATTTGATCCGCCCGGAAATCGCATCCGTTCTCTTGTGCCTCGGGCGATACGAAATGTATACGCGTCGTTCAATATGTAGCTCAACACGACTCACAATGCAAAGTCGCATAACGACTTAACTGAAGTGCGTCCAGTTTGGTTCATCATTCCAATAGTGATACAACGAATCAATGTTCGGAGCATGTTATTTATATGCCTCTTCAGAAGTGTGGAAACAACAAATCAATGCCAGCTACAATTTCTCAGTATTTTCATATAAGCCACCCCTTATCATTGCGCGCGTAGGTCGCTGAAGTTTATTTTCGGGTATTCCCGGAGATGTTTTTACGCAGACCGATGTCAAATGGAGGCTTATTTCTAAATGACAACATTTGTTTTATAAATAAATATTTTGTATTTTGTAAATGATTTTGCAGCTTGTAGCATTGAATAAAAAATATCGTTAAATAAGAATGGATAAGATTCTGTACTTTTGCGATGTTCTTCCTGAAAAGATTCAATAACATAAATAGACTCTTGCTAAATTGCCCACCGCAAAAAATACAGGCGGTTGTAGCGACTTCTAGACAACACGGAGAGAAGAATAAGAAGCTTGATATAAAGTCTAACTATACATTTTAATCTGAATGTTTGTTACAGCCACCTCGCTCGGCGCACCCAGTAGTCAAGTTCACTTGTTCGAGCCAGGAGCCGATGGTGATTGACAACTTGCCTTTTGACAAGTACGAGTTGGAGCCTAGTCCTCTGACGCAGTTCATCCTAGCGAGGAAACAGCCGACCATCTGCTGGCAGGTTGGTATTTTGACATTTACAAAAAAAGAAAATTACACGGGTTTTTAATTTTCGAATACAATTTCTTTTTAATTTGTTATTTATGGATAATACTGGCTGGATTAAAGTTTCCATTCAAAGACTCGTATTTTTTAGTTCTTTTTAAATGAGGGTTTTCGCGACTGAAAAATCCGCCAGATGGCAATACGTAAACGGGAGGTCCAAATGCTGCATGATTGGTGGATTTTGACATATCTGTCAATGTCATGTCATGGGGATCCTTGTTGATACAAATCATTATTATAGCTACTAATGAGATAGCAAACCAAACCTTACATCAGTGAAAGTGTTAAATGGTAAAGTTAACAGTTACAACATAGCACCATAAAATATTTTCATGTGGTTTATGTATACTGGTTCTGCTATAGGAATGGGATTATCGTTTTTTCGGATGAAAATTAAGTTACACGAAAATCCAGCCCTGATTTGAATTTAAATATAGACTTGGGCATTACAGATCAAATATAAGGTCAAATGATGATCCATATTGATGATTTAATACAAATAAAGGCAATAATTTCAATATTACTGCTAACACTAGAGTTGACCTTTATCTTATCACACAAATAACGGCTTTGGGATTGCCCATAATAACTAACTTACCTATATTAAATTACTAGGTTATTATTGATAATAATTTCTCACATTATCACTGGTATTTATCAATAGGCTATTTTTTTTTATAAAATCACTGGTTTTTAAGCTGATGTCTTTATGTGACCTGAAACTTCAAGCTCATTTACTACGTAATAAATGTCGCGTTTCTAGTGACCCCACTCCTTGAATTTAGTAGAAAGCAAAAGCTTGAATGTCTTAAATATTTACTGGTTTATATTTACTTAGTCACTTCTGATCTGAATATAAGGCTCTAATGACCGCCCGCGACTTCGTACGCGTGGATCCCGTTTATTCACTTAGCGGTGGAGTTTCGTAAAATCCCGTCTTAGTGACCTACGTTCTAAAAGGATCCCCATGCAAAATTTGAGACTCCTAGCACTTGTAGTTTCCGAGATTTCGTGATGAGTGAGTCAGTGACATTTCGCTTTTATAGCTATAGATTATACCTATCCTATTTCCCCAGGTGTTCGTCGCGAACAGTGGTTGCAAGAATGCCGAAGTGAACCATCCCTTTGGTTACCTGAAAGCTTCAACCAACCTGACGTGTGTGAACTTGTTTGTGCTGCCGTACAACTATCCAGTGCTGTTGCCTTTACTGGACGATCTATTCAAGGTGCACCGCTGCAAACCGACGCCGGAGTGGAAACTGGCCTTCCAGCAGTATCTGGATAGGATGCCGTCGTACTATATAGCGGTATGTTGCGTATATTACGTTTCCTATGGGCTTATGATTTTGAATGACTAGCTGGGTGACGTATGTGCCTGTTACTGCAGAAAGACTTGTGTCAGACTGATGAAAGCTCATAACATGAAAGCTCAACAGTTAGACTGGCATCTAATTTAGTTGCAATAGTGGTTATTTTGAAAAGAAAATTTTTAGTTAAATGATCTTCCTTTGGTAATCATGATTTCATACTATGTACCGCAAAGTTTGTTTTAAAAATGCTTCATAACTAACATAATTTAAGGCCATTGTTACTAACCCCACTAACATAGTCTTTATTTTTATTTTTTATTATTTTTTCTTTTACGAAATAAAACATATAAAATGAATAAAGTTTAGAATTCCACGTTTCAGCCCCTGCGCAGAGCTTTAACGAAAATGGGTGCGTCAGCGCCACTTCTTCAGAGCCTCATTCCAGACATGCAAGACAACACGCTCAGTTTCTCAGTACTGAACTATTTGAAAAGACTGAAGAATCAAGCTAAGATTGAATTCGAGAAGCTGTGCGCTGACGTCATAAACAAGTCTTCCAGTAACAATGTTCAGAAGGTAATAATAATATCACTTGTTTACATTATTATTTTTAACATTCGTAGTCTAACTTGAATACCATTGCTTAAAGTTGAACGATTCTGAAACGTCAAGTGGCAAATATCGAAACTAGTGGCCCCCTCCTGTCAAAGTCATAGCTGGAATGGTTCAGTGTTGGCTGTAAAATCGCATTATAACGTGATGTCTTTCGTTTACAATGTAATTCATATAAGAGGCACGCGGCCCCATACAAATTTTATCTCCGATCGTGCGTAGTTACGTCAGTACGCAAGTATTTTTACTCAAGTTTCGTTTTATAATATTAAAACACTNAAACACTACACTCAAGAAACAAAAAAAACCTCATCCAATTGAAAGTTATCTTATAATCATCTATTAACAAATTACTTGAATTTCCTTTCAGATAGCAGAAAGCGTCCGTGTGATGCCGCGTTCCCCGCTCAAAAAGGACTTGACCACGCATCCGTGTCTTCAAGACAAATTCACAGCGCTGAGGGATCAGCTCAACGAATTTGGCGGCTTCGTAGTGGGACTCTCGCGGGGACGGCATAAGACACAAGTGCACACGTATAGGAACCCCTTCGATATACAGAGGAGGGACTTGTTGGATCAGGTAATTATTATTATTACTTACACCAGAGTAAATACAAATGAGTAGGTCATCTTCATAGGCGCAACACCCCGCTAATCTACGCTAAATTTTGTCAGTGTGTGCGTGCGCGCCGCATACGTATTGGAGCGCTCACATACAAACTGCGCTCGGTGAGTTTCTATAAAGATGACCTACTCATTTGTATTTACTCTGCTTACACTTACTCGTTTTATAGTTCTTGAGGTGCGATGTACGATGAGCTAATTAAACTGTTTTGATCCTTGAAGGGGCGACAGCATGAATCATGCGCGTAATCAATTATCTTTGACATTCAGGGACTGACTCAATTTGTAATAGGATAAATAGTGGAAACTTCAGAGGTCACTAACCGCAGACCGGCGGTCAGTATTTCTTATTCTGCTTATTTTTGAGAATTGGGAAGAAAAAGAATCCCTCTTTCGTACAAAAACGAACTAAATATTTTAACTGCACTAGAGGATCGTTACTTGGACTGAGTAAAAAGTAGGTCCTCGCGCGAACAGCTGTACAAACATGCGGGTCTAAACAGTGGGTCAGCAAACGGGTTTCAACAAGGAATCATAATTAATCTACTTTTCTTCAAATTTCAGGTTGTGCGAATGCGAGCAAACTTCCTGCAACCATCGCTAGCGCACACGCGTTTGGTAGACGAGGATAGTCTCCATACCATGCCGGTGGCACAGATGGGCAACTACCAGGAGTATCTCAAGCGCATGACGCCGCAACTAAGGGAGCTCGAGTCGCAGCCCGTGCGGCAACACATGTTCGGCAACCCGTTCAAGATAGACAAGGTTGGTTTTAGGTTGAAGACGTCATAGGTTAAGTCCATGCGTTTAGTAGATGAGGATATTCTTGATAAAATGCCGGTGGCACAGATGGGCAACTACCAGGAGTATCTCAAGCGCATGACGCCGCAACTAAGGGAGCTCGAGTCGCAGCCCGTGCGGCAACACATGTTTGGAAACCNATGTCCACGATGTCTTATAGGTTACAAAGTCCACGTGTATAGTAGACGAGGATAGTCTTGATACTATACCGGTGGCACAGATGGGCAACTACCAGGAGTATCTCAAGCGCATGACGCCTCAACTAAGGGAGCTGGAGTCGCAGCCCGTGCGGCAACACATGTTCGGAAACCCGTTCAAGATAGACAAGGTTCGTTTTATGTTGATGACGTCATAGGTTAAGTCCATGCGTTTAGTAGATGAGGATAGTCTTGGTAAAATGCCGGTGGCACAGATGGGCAACTACCAGGAGTATCTGAAGCGCATGACGCCGCAACTAAGGGAGCTCGAGTCGCAGCCCGTGCGGCAACACATGTTCGGAAACCCGTTCAAGATAGACAAGGTTTGTTTTATGTTGATGACGTCATAGGTTAAGTCCATACGTTTAGTAGATGAGGATAGTCTTGATAAAATGCCGGTGGCACAGATTGGCAACTACCAGGAGTATCTCAAGCGCATGACGCCTCAACTAAGAGAGCTTGAGTCACAGCCCGTGCGGCAACATATGTTTGGAAACCCGTTCAAGATAGACAAGGTTTGTTTTATGTTGATGACGTCATAGGTTAAGTCCATGCGTTTGTAGATGAGGATAGTCTTGATAAAATGCCGATGGCACAGATGGGCAACTACCAGGAGTATCTCAAGCGCATGACGCCTCAACTAAGAGAGCTTGAGTCGCAACCCGTGCGGCAACACATGTTTGGAAACCCGTTCAAGATAGACAAGGTTTGTTTTGTCGACGTCATATAGGTTATAAAGTCAACGCGTATAGTAGACGAGGACAGTCTTCACACCATGCCGGTGGCACAGATGGGCAACTACCAGGAGTATCTCAAGCGCATGACGCCGCAACTAAGNCCTGTTATCAAGCCCTTTCTCAATGGAGGTCAGCAATCTTATCCTTTTATCTTTTTAGATATCAAATATTTACAGTCGTAAAGATTTTAGAAGCGATAGTCATATGAAAAAGTGATTTTGTGATATTTAAGATAGCTTCATATCGATCGATCAAAATGGGTCACAAATAACTACATTATTGAACCTTATATTGTCTTTTGAAACTGAGAACAAGGGCCTCAAACGTGAAATGTAGTATTCATGAATACTTACAGCTTGACGTTTCGGTGGTGTAGCTACAGCCGTGGTCTTAAACCGCAGTCTGGTTGTTCGGAAAGGCTTGAAGATTTGCGGCTACTGTTAGGCTAAGAACTCACGGCGCGATTTTCACCCGCGCCCGCGGCGGTTGTGGAATTGCGGTTTTATTTTAAAACTCACGGGAGCGGTTATTTGCGCGGTTATTCTAAGAACTAACGGCGCGATTCGCGATTTTAAATCGCGCCACGTGCTAAGTCACTGGTACAAAATGGTCGCCCGCCGATCGGGCGGTTTTCGCGCGGGAGAAAACTGCCGAGCGGGACCCGATTACAACCGCGCCCGCTGCNAAACCCGTTCAAGATAGACAAGGTTTGTTTTGTGATGTTGACGTCATATAGGTTGCGTAGTAGCAGCAATGGGAAGGGTGAGCGCAGGATACTACCTGGAATATCTCAAGTGCATGACGCCTCAATGAGGGCTATCGTTTTAGCGCTCACCAGTTGGCGCCACTGTAGAGTAAGGTCCTGTCACTTGCTAGTCGCAAAGACAGTGGCGCCAACTTGTGAGCGCTAAAGTGGTAGGAGGACTATCACATTTGCACTTATCAAGATGGCGCCACTGTAGAGTAAGGTCCTGTCAATCGCCAGGGGTGCCAACTGTTAAGTATAAAAACGATAGCCCTCATTAAAAGAGCTCGCAGCAAGGCCAAGATACGCAAATTGACTTCAAAGCCGAGTTAATTGTCTACTAACAAACGTGAAATAAAACAAATGACTTATCATATCGTCGTTCTCTGTTGTAATTTTACGTAAAATCAAAACAAATGACTATCACTTTGTTCTATCAATCCAGATGCTCATTTGTTTTTTCAATTTCCAGCGAATGATGGTCGACGAGGCGGACGTTGACCCAGTGAGCGCCGTCAAAAGCGGCGGCGGGGGCGGCGGCGCGGGGGGCAAGCGGGGATCAGAGACCCCTCGCAACATGCCGCCGAAGAGGAAAGTGGGGCCGTTGCCCGCGCACTTTGTGGCGCGGCGGCCGTCGTCGCCGGCGGTGTCGACGCCGCCGGTTTCGCCGGCGCCGCCGGTTACGCCGCCGCCCGCCGCTCCGTTGTCCCCGGTTACAATGAGGCGGCCGGTGTCGCCTCAAGCGCCGGTACCCTCGGATCTACCCTCTGGAAGGCCACCCGAGGTAAGATAACCACTGCGTTGAATCGCATACCTACCCTGCGGGGACAGGGTAGGTTATGTGGGGCACATCAAGTCAGAAGGACGAGACATACCCATTAAAAAGACCCCGGTGCTCTGTCACTCGTTATAAGTGGAAACTGTGGGATTTCTTCCGGATCTAACGCAAACTTAATAGAAGGCGGGCCGGGTGCCCCTATATTTGTAGACGCTTGCCAGATTTCTACTTCGCACCCAGACATGACATCATCAGCAACAACCATGATGCTAATGCAAATGATGCTTGATGATGCAAGACATTATGCAAATAAGTTACACGGATTTATTTTTGCTTTAGCTCATCGTTAGCTTGAACGGGCACTAGGTACATTTGTTTGATTTTAAGTCTTATTTATCTAACAATTTGACTTACTTTTGCAGGAGCCTCCAAACGTGGATACCGGCGGGCCGGTCGGCGGGCCCGCACCTCCCACTCCCCCGCCGCCGGCAGCCGCGCCGGCAAACCTACCGCCTGTTATCAAGCCCTTTCTCAATGGAGGTCAGCAATCTTATCCTATTATCTTTTTAGATATCAAATATTTACAGTCGCAAAGATTTTAGAAGCGATAGTTATTTAAAAAATTGAGATAGCTTCATATCGATCGATCAAAATGGGTCACCAAATAACTACATTATTGAACCTTATATTGTCTTTTGAAACTGAGAACAAGGGTCTCAAATGCGAAAGGTAGTATGCATACAGTTTGACGTTTCAGTGGTGTAACTACAACCGTGGTCACAAGCAGCGGTCTGGTTGTTCGGAAGGGCTTGAAGATTTGCGGCTACTGTTAGGCTAAGAACTCACGGCGCGATTTTCAACCGCGCCCGCGGCGGTTGTGGAATTGCGGTTTTTAATTTTAAAACTCACGGGAGCGGTTATTTGCGCGGTTATTCTTAGAACTCACGGCGCGATTCGCGATTTTAAATCGCGCCGCATGCTAAGTCACTGGTACAAAATGGTCGCCCGCCGATCGGGCGGTTTTCGCGCGGGAGAAAACCGCCGAGCGGGACCCGATTACAACCGCGCCCGCTGCGGGCGAAAACCGCGTCGTGAGTTTTGCATTAGTTTTTACATAAGTATCTGCATTCTACAGAAGCTGCGGGCCCGCAACTGCCGCGGGCGCGGGTGAAATACGCGCCTTGAGTTCTTAGCCTTAAGACACTTGTTATGTTACTAGTGATGTTACTATGGCACACAACTCACTTATTGTTGTTCTATCTTATGTTGTTTCATTGTAATGGAACGGGAAAATTTAAATTTTACATTTGTCTCATTCCAGACGCGTACACAACCATGGGCAGTAAGATGCCGCGGTCTCCGTCGCCGCCCACCATCGCAGCGCCGATCATTCATGTGCCTGCGCATGATTCCCAGGAGCTGCAGATCAACGCCATCTTACAAGGCGTGGCCGCCGAAAACAACGCCCACTCGCGCCCGCCCAAGCGGAAACGGAAGGTAAAAGATCAAATCTTTATGGTCTAAAGCCCGGTCCGTGAGCACGTAGAATTTTGTCCAATGACCCCTAGCTACCCATCCTTATCGCTCGCGCGTAATTATATTGCTGTCGCGACTGTGCGACTGGCACCCGCAGTGAGTGTGCGAGCGCGATAGCAACATAATTACGCGCGAGCGATAAGGATGGGTAGCTAGGGGTCATTGGACAAAATTCTACGTGCTCACAGACCAGACTATACACCCGTTAAGCTTCGGCGAAATGGATGCGTTCAGCCTGCGTGCGCGATAGCGTGTATGGTAGCGATCAGACATCGCGTATTAATTTGTAGAAAAGTGTTCATGTCATTGGCCGCGGCAACCGATGCAGCGTCGGTTTAGGCGCAAAATGTAAAAAAAGCGCAAAATGTCATATCTAGAGATGAAACGGATATCCGGTAACTATCCGGTAGGCCGGATATCCGGCCTAAATTTACTATCCGGCCGGATACCGGATAGTAACTCACTATCCGGCCGGATACCGGATATTAAAAAACTACGACAATTTCCTATTAATAAAATGAAATACATTAAATCTTTGGGGTAAATATCAATAAAATGGCTTATAATAATGACGGCGTTGTAGGAAGTTAAATCGCGGTTTCATTTGTTTTTTTCCGTTCCTTTAAGTACCAGGACTAAATTCTGATTATTACGATTTATTTATTACACATCAATGATTAATGAAGTTCAAATGAATTAACGAACACGCACGCCTCATAACATACGCTTATTTTTGAGTCTCCGCTCTCTTATTGGGGGGTGGGGACACAATTGCTCATAACAACGAAGTCGGATGTATTGTTATGCACTTTAACATTCTGCCATTATTATGTGAGTTATGTCGATAAACCATTTATATACTTAGTTAAATATTACATAAAATATGTAAGTAGTTTTCTGGAAAACGAGATTCGTTATTATCTCGCGCTTTCATAATAGGTTAAGTAAAACGTTAAAAAAAAACATACGGATCGAATTGAGAACCTCCTCCTTTTTTTGAAGTCGGTTGAAAATACAAGTTACTTTTTACTTACTTATTATCAACAAGTATTTTTCATCGTAATACTGCTTTTTAAAACGTATGTGTGGTCAGGATCGTGATTTGACAAAAGAAACATTCGAAAATCATAATTTATAGAAAAACACAGCATATGTGTTGGGCCGCACTGGCGTATGGGCAGATTATTACGCGCTTTACGTGTGCGCCCGCACAGCCGTATCGTCGAACTTTTACGCGTAATGTGTGTTCGGCCGCACAGGCGTTGGATCCAGATAGCGCGCGGAACGCCGGTGCGGGCGCTCACGCTTTGTGTGAGATTTTAGCACTGAGGGATAACGTACGGCGCGACGCTCGCAGCCAATGTGTTAAAGTCCAAAAAGTTACAAAAAAGCCATATTAAGGCCTTTCAAAAAACTAATTTCTTTTTCTGGGCTATTCTCTCTAATGAAGAATACATAAATGGTAAATATCTGTTATGTCAAAATATTGCCAAATAAATTTTCGCTATTCAATCACACACACGATGGTAACCAAAATCGCCCGAATTAATCTGCCCCCTAGACAAGTGGCAAAATCTGACATTCTATTCGGATGAATTCGATTTTCGAAAAGTGTGACTAGTGTAGTCTACTAATAGATCACTGATCACTGATCGCGTGCGAAACACCTGTGCGGCGCTAAACTCGTCACGACATGCAACGAGACAATGGGCCAACTATCCGGCCGCCGGATATCCGGCTATCCGGCCTAGCAGCTGGCCGGATATCCGGTATCCGGTATCCGGCCAAACAACTATCCGTTTCATCACTAGTCATATCCATAAAAATCTTAAACCTAACCTAATCTAAAACCTAACTAATACTTTATTTTATTAACTCGGCGGTTAAATTAATTAACAAAAAATATCATAAATTAATAAGATTTTTATGCGTCTGCACGTGTGGCCGTGGCGATTAGATCGCGCTTGTTATTTTGACATTTCGGATTTTGAATTGGCGGATTTTTTTACGGTAAAAAATGCGAACGCGAACGCGGCAGTGTGAACAACTTTTGCACGCGCAGTAATTGCCACTGAGCACACTATCGCGGATGTAGGGTAAATGAACGCAGTTTGGCCGAATCTTTTAGGCATAAATTAAATTGGATGATAAGTTGACCCCATCTACGTCACTGTTGTGACTAACTTCTCTACCGGCTATATCTTGCGCATGCGCACGGCTGGCAGGAGTTGCAGATCAACGCCATCTTACAGAGCTTGGCTGCCGAGAACAACGCCCACTCGCGTCCGCACAAGCTGAAACGAAAGGTAACAAGATCTTCGTCATGGTCATGGTCATGGTCTTGTTTCAGAGTTGCTGGTTTTATTTTTGGAGTAGAAGGGTCGATTGACGTGTCCCAATGTGTCAATTTTTAACGTTCTTAAAATTTTCTAAATTCATGAAAACCAATAATTCTACTTATTCAACAATACCTCATGTGAAGTATCCATTAAATTAATTCCAAATGGGACCATCAATCAATCTACGGCTTATTGCGGACCAATTAAAATGTAATTGATCGTTAATATTAATTAATGAATAACAGTCAATTAACTTTTAATTCCAATGCATTATTATAGCAGCTATCTCACTGTCATAGATTCTGTCCTGTATTTGATTTAAAATATTGAAATACAACCAATCAAGACTTTGATCCATGCTTGATATCGAATGTGCTTTGTTCTGAAATACGCACCTACATCAATCGTATTAACTAGAAAGTCTAAAAACCATGTATAGATCGTTTCATCCACGAAGACGCGCCCCACCATTCTTCCGCTAATGTTTGATTGTTATCGGCACACTAAATTATCTATGAGTGCACACGCACACTATGTGCTCTAATGACGCTCGGATTGCTCGGATCTAACTTCCCGCACCTCGCGCTTCCCTCGACCAAAGTTTGGTGGGACGCGTCTTCGTGGATGAAACCAGGCCTGTTCATCTCTGCGAGTTTGCATCGAAAACAAAATACACGCGCTACGCCTCCTGAGATCACTAATGGACAGGCCAATCGCGAGCGAGCATTGACGCACGCACGTATATTCTTCACCCTTTTGCATTGTAAAGACAATAAACTATGTATGTGAAAACGGTGGTGTAATTAATACGGTGCAGTATTTTAACTGCCTGATAATAACAGAAACAAAATATAATTCATGCTTATTCATGTGTTTCCTCCGCCATTTTCCGCAGTTTGGCACCTCACGTCACACATCATTTTACCGAAGTCAGCCCTATGGCTTCGGCGCAGTACCGATCACTGACGTTTGTCAACATAATGGTGTTCGACTCTTGAGACAAGCTAAATTACACCATATTGTTAACGTCATTGAGCATACATTTTTTTAAATACCTTCGCGAAGAAAACATTCTGTACGTAGTACTTATTATTATTCTGTGATGAAACGATCTATAAGTACACTGAGGAGCAAAATATATTAACAATATTATATTGTACGTAACAGCATAGCCCGAACAAGCCGCCGCCACCGCCGCTGCCGCCGCAGCCGTCGCGCAAGGAGCTAGCTGATATCAAGAAGCACAATCTGGACGTGCGATCCGAAGTGTTCCGGGCGATACGACGTCCCGGGAGAGGTCAGTATACTAACACTATTTAAAAATCATCAAATTGGCTTATTCGGATTTTATTTTGAACGTAATGGGGATGAATGAACTTTTTAGTTCATTATTCCCCATTATAAGTTCCTATTGGCGTTAACGGGGAATAGTGAACAAAAAGTTCAGTAATCCCCGTTGACGGGGATTGTCAACGGGGAATAGTGGAATAAGCCCATCAAATATGTGTTATAAAACCATTTTAAAATGTAACGCTTATGTGATTTGTGCATACATAATGATCACACGTACCTTAGATACTACAGTAATGTTGCTATTTAATTGCTAGTGGTGGGCAATCAAATCAGTCCGCAATCTGCTTCAATTTGGCCCCACAAAGTCTAGTAACGTATCTGCAACTTTTTCTTCATCTGAGAGACACTATAAATTGCTGAGGAAATCGGCTTAAAATTGATTTATAGATATTATGTTATCTGGGGGTTTAACTGCTCTGTGTTGACTCATCAATCAATTTACATCTGGTTTGAATTGAACTGATTCTTAAGCATTGTGTTTGTTTTTGTGATTCTATTCTAAATTCATGATTCTTTTTTCGAGCCATAACTTCTTTCCTACAACCGTTATATGCATTTACCAACTGCGTAACCAATGTATGTCACTACTCACTATTGAGTAATAAATTAATTATACTTTCTCCAATTAACGTATTAATTTACGTCACTAATGAACAAATCGAACATTGATCTTTGAAGACTTCATGAAATCAATCATCATTAAAACTGTAATATAAATAACGCATATTATGCGAGTATATATAAAAACGCTTCGTGAAACCAAATGAAATTAAAAACACGCATTTTTTGTCCCACGTTAGACGCATGTTTTGTTTTTTTACTTTCTTTTCGCGGAATGTAGCGGTGCTTAAAAGTCAATGACCCCGATAAGAATGGCCGCTTATCTAATATCTTTCAACTTGTGTGTGCATACGCAGTTAACTTATGCGGAGAAATGTTGTGTATGGATTTCCCGTACTTGCCAAGTTATTTTTTTTCTTAATTAAGAGCCATTTATCTAACCAGCCAGGATGATTTCGTAAAAAAACAATTGCACAATTAATGATTATTTTTTGTTTCAGATTTCTCAAAACTGTTCGAACACTTAAAACAATTGAAAGGTGGTGTGGATACTAAAAAAGAAGTGTTACGTGATGTGATAAACGAGTCGCTAAGGTTTAAGAGGAAGGCGTTGGCCAAACTGCTTGAGGACTTTCTGGCCGGTCTCGATAAGAACGGCAGTAGTGCGGTCAACATCAAGCGGGTGGCTAATTCTTTGAACAACTACGCGAATAACCACAGCTAGTGGTGTGCCCCACCCCAAGACATTAAGGTATCGAATACCGAAATAAAGTGGAAGCTCAATTTGTGAAGTGCGGTGGTCGATTTTACAGGATCCGTCGTAAATGATTGCGTCTCAAACCAACCGCGAAAATGTGTTCCTTTTATCTGTCGCATTGTCTTCATCTAATAAACTGTAGCTTTTATATGGTTAAGCTTTTATTGACTCAAAATGTTACGCATAAATTCCTTGATCAACTTGAAAATGGGTTTCCTGAGATTTGTATTAGGTATTTTTGTAATGAAGCATGTTTGATATTACGGTTTCTCCATACTTAGTTTTATGGTTGACAAGTGAAACCAAGTGACGCGAAGTCAGCCTGTTCTACTTTAAGTACTAGTGCAATAAACATTTCCAAAAAGTAACCAGTCATCTCCAGTATATAATTTTAGTATGTGATACGTATTTTTATTTATTGATCGATTATTAAATGCGATGTTGATTCTTGCAATTGTAACTGTTTTCGCGGTTACCCATATTGAAAATGCTTTAATACTGTGTGAAAAGGGTAGATTTTATCCGTTGTATAATGTATGTTGATTTAGTACGTAATATTTGCCTTGTGATTCTGATTGTTCAACATTACAATAAATCGATATACATAGATATTAAATGTACTTATCGGTGTTTACCTTCATGTTTTCCTTGTAAAGTCTCTAAATGTCGATATCCTTGTTTTTAAATGACGAATACAGAATATCACAATCGCAGCATGGCGTACTAATGAGTACTCTATAAACCATTATCGAATAATTTTAATGATACTTGAATTTGTCCGCCATAAATATGAATAACTTAAATACTTGGTTATCGGTAGTTATCGGTAGTTATCAGCGATATGCTAGTATTTCGGACGTGATTTCCTCCCATAACGTTCGAGAACAATGGCGGTCAAATAGAGTAGCAATATGAATAATTGTTTACAATAATTCAAAATCACATCTCAAATGGATCATATCATAATATAAGTTTCAAAGCATTTATTTGTATTCACGCATCGGAAATTTACATTTTACTGTCCGACCTCAGTGTTAGTGGAATGCGTCACTCTCTGTTGTGAGTGTTGATGATATTAGGGTTCTGTAGTCAAAGTGGATATTTTTTCGGTTCTGGAAATTCTATCGACAATGGAAAACATTCGAATGACAATAAAGAGATTTGAATCTGGTTACGATGACTTCAGAGTTTATATCTTAAATTCCCAAAGTATTTTATTAAAAAGAAGAATGATCAAATTGATTGACAGATGACTACGGAACCCAACTGTGTGTTCAGACACGTGGACTCTGAGTTTGTGACTAGTGGTAAATTTAAAGCAATATGAATTTCGAGAATGGTGCCGAGGTGTCTTCATATTTACGAAATGACAGTAAAATGTGTGTTTGGAAGGATATGTAAATAATACCCTCTGTACATATTAGTTTGTATTATTATTACCAATGAGAATGTATGCATAGGATGCTGTGTCGCATCGGATGTGCGACCTATAATGTGGCCTAACAACTGCATTGTCTTTGATATTTTACGTGAGTATTCAAAAATGTACTTATTTTAGCATCTTAACGTTGAATTGGTACCAAGTACTTGTATAGATTTGTTTGACAATCTTGCATAGTTGTTTGGCCACATTAACAGGCGTTTGGTCAATTGTAAAGTGTATTATATCTTTTTTTAAATAAATTATGATCCTTATTGGATTTTTATTTTGTGTTTTATTGTAACCTTGTTGAAGTTTCACTAAAATAATATTATACCATCCTCTTACCATTATATTAGGTATTTTTCTAAGGCCACGGATACACTAGGGGCACAAATGGAGCAACATATTGCGGAACATACCAACTACGTGATGTTCCCAGGGTACAATGTTGCAGGACTTTACCACAGGCGTCCACACTAGGCAGTAGTTGCTGGGATGTGAACACGGAGCATTGGGACATTTTTACCCTAGGTGTATCCGTGGCTTTATGAACAGTGTTGTTGGGAGATTCTAATTCCGTCGTTTTCCCACGATTCGTTTAGTTAGAGGCAGGGCACTGACGACACGGCGCTATAGTGTTTTACCATTCTGCCTGATTTCACCATAAGCACCAAGCATGCAATATGTAGGTATCTGTAAACGTACTATGTTAGTGTTATTATCACCAGTAAAACAGTATGTTTACAGATAGGTATTTATAGAAATTATTGCAAATTGAGAATCTTTGTTCCAATCATTCCCGCTTAACCCACATGCCTAAAAGTGTAGATACGCCTGTCATTGGATACGGCTACTTATTTTTTATTGCTCAGCGAGTTTGCATACCCGTATGCACTTTACTGTTTTTCACAACCTGTATGAGCACAGAGGGAACTTTATTACAAAAAGTTGCTACTTACAGGCTACAGAGAACGGCACTGTGACGGCACGGACGAGTGACGGACGGACGAAAAAAGTGCTCCAGTTTTATGTTTGCTGATAACGTTGAATTCCGGGCTACTTTAAGAGCGATTGAGGGACAGATTTTGTTGTAATTAGAATCCATAGATGCTTAATTCTGTTACTTAGATTATTTGCGACAACATACCTACCATAAGGCTGAGTTGCACCATCTTATTTTAACTTTGACAAACGTCAAAAATCTGTCAAACTCCATACAAAAAGCACCGGATATTGTTATTTTTACGGTTAAAATAAGGTAAGGTACAACTGAGCCTAAATGTGTGTATTGCACAATAAAATACCTAGAGCGCGTTTAAAGAATTAAAGACAGAAATGATAAATTTTTGAAATTGTTCTAATGGCGAGCGCGCTGGAATCCTAAAAAAGCTTGACGGATCATAACAAGTTGCCCCAGTTCATAATTTCCGAGTAGATCGCAGCGTAATTTAACTTAGCCCATCAGACAATGCCGTTATTTCGAATAAGCATTTGGTGCAGACCGCTCTGGGAAATTGAAGACGAACAGGCTGCAACAACACAGATAATGTGAAACGCAAAATTGGATGCGCCGCGTTTACCCCATGATAAAGTCTATTACGAATAGCTGTCCGTTGGCGGGAATTGGGAATTTTTCGTGGGACGTAAAATTAAATCTTATCTTTGTATTTACGTGTAGATTATTATGACGGCAAGCTATAAGTATCACGGATTCGGTTTGGTTAAGATATTACTTAATTACCTAAGCCAGATAATCAAAACTATTGTAGGTAGTATGTTACCTATTAAGTACATAGGATCAGCTTGGGATCAACAGATTAATTTTACCACGTTGGGCGCCATGTTCGAATAGATGGTCATTGACAGAATCGTTGCGTGTATCGTTTGTTCCGCAGTTTTATTTTATTTTTGTAAGCGTTTTTTTTTAAGTGTTAAAAACTTAAAAACAAGCACACCAAATATCATGGATTTTAATTGATACTTATTACGAAAGTATTAATGTTGACAGATTAGCCCATAACTTCTAACTGAATGTTGACCATGATCAAAATACAGATCAGCAAATAAATGTTTTATTGAAAACTTAGAGATTTACTTTATCGATTATTCTGTCCAACCCTTTAGCAGACATTGATGGCCCTCAAATTAACGATAGACTGTCCCCGTATCACTGTTCTTCCATGGTCAGCCTTATTTATAGCGGTTGGAGATTTATTTACATTTGTATCCATTCCCCTATCTAAATTATGTGCTTTATCGCTATTTGTCCGTTTAATGTGATTTTTATTGCCAAGATACCTATAAAATTTTTGCTCAATTCTGCTGTAAAAACGATGTTCCGATTTATTACAAAAACAAAGTAAAATAACATGTTGGCAAGCACTCTACTTCTGTTTAATTATTGTTACGTGAGAAGGCAAAACTGAAAATTGATTTTAAAGTAAACAAAGATTTCAAGCAATATTTAAAAACAATATCCCGGCTTCAGGCGATTCTCGGAGTTCGCGGGAAGCTCTATTTTTTGCGCGTGTTTGATTTGAGGAATAATTATTTCTTTAATCAAGCAAAGAGGTCAAGGAACAGGGTATTGTGGCCGTTTAATTAAGTACGAATGACGGCACATCAATCTAAACACTGCAGCATATTAAGCAGCTGATAATATAGTAGACTTTGGATTAGTGTGCTTGTTTTACGAGTGTCATTAACGTGAGCTGTTACTTAACCTAGGCAGACCACCGACTTTTAGTTGGCCGATTGTTGGGCCCGGTTCTAATTTGTATGAAGTATCGGCCGATACCAAATCGGTGTAGTGTGCGCACTTCCATACATGTTCATACTGATCAATAGCCCGACCTATCAGCCAACTAAAAGTCGGTGGTCTGCGCTTAGGCTTCGCAGTAACATTCATATTATGATAGCACTTATACTCGTTTAGGTACTCGTATAATCCAAATCCTACAGAGGGTATACGCGATGATGACGTATTAAGGAACTCTTGCCCCGTTATCAAGTTTACAGTTACATGTCCTGAAAAATTCCGCCGCTGTTATACCTACACACAAACACCGTTTAAAGCTTAAATAAATATCTTATAGAGCTGTTACAATTTGTAATAGGTATATCAGCTTTCTAATTAGGTACTTTTTTTCATTACAACGGGGAACGACGCTCATGATCTGCATATCGCCTGACGGAAAGTGGTGATTAGGCAATGTGGAAGCTTCAATAGAAACTTCTCCCGGAATCCATAGAGCTGCAATTTTGTCATCATGGATGTGAATGTAGAACATAATTCACCAATGGCAAGGCATGGCATCGTAAATCCGTTATTTAAATGAAAATTCCCAACTAGTTATTGTCACAGTATTGCCATCTTGTCACACCCCCATTCCCGCTCTCCCATTTCCAGGAACGGGATGGCGGCCCAGTATATTAACACGCCCACAATTTATGTTCTATGGGAGTCGCCTATGAAAATTTTACGGCATTCGTTAACTGCAGTGCTGAAAAATTGCCCGTAAAGATTTTTTTCGGTCCTTTGAGCCTTAATTTTATACATTTTACTCGCTCACTTATTAATGTTGATTCGAAATTTCAGGGGATCCTCGTTACTCAGCTCCCCGTGTTGTAAAAAGAAATGAATTGTTTCAAAATTCTTGAACATATTGAGCTTGTTTCTCTGTTATATTTTTAACTAGCTTTCCGCCCGCGGCTTCGCCCGCGTGAAATTTTGTCTGTCACAGAAAAACTTTATCGCGCGCGTCCCTGTTTCAAAAACCGGATAAAAACTATCCTATTTCCTTTCCCGGGACTCAAACTATCTCTATGCCAAATTTCATCAAAATCGGTTCAGTGGTTTAGGCGTGAAAGAGAGACAGACAGACAGACAGAGTTACTTTCGCATTTAGATTAGATTAGATTAACCAACTAATTACAATACCATGTTCTTCCGACACAATGTTTAGCAGCAAAAAGTAACGAATAAACAGGGTCATGAATAATATAATTAAGGGTTTAGAGGTGTCGATAAGTCCCATCGGGGCGGTGTTAATAAGGTGTCGATCAAAATAATCTGCTTCACCTTGAAGAGCGTAAATAGGCTGGGTTATCTTCGCCTGCAGACTCGGCTGGGTCAGACAAAGGCTACAGTTTAATTAGTCTGTGCCCGAGTGAGACACATTTTGACATATAAACGAGTTCTATTAAACAGTTTTGTAATTAGAAAATGTTCGATGAAAGTTTGTAATGAGCTGTAAAAGCTGTCAGGTTTATGTTGGGATGATGGGCATATTGGGCGTTAAACCAACAGAAACAAAAAGTATACTAAATTAAAGCTTAATACTAGTACTTCATTTCATAGTATGACAACAATCCTGAAATACGCGGGGATACGGAGATAGAGGTCGTTGAATATGCAAAGTTTCCATAGTATTTCACAACACATTAGGGTAATAAAATAGTATTAGGTCAATTAGATTGCCTTTATCGATCATATTGAGAGTATTGTATCATATCTTACTATCGATTCTATCGATTTAGTAAGTATGTATACCGAATAAATCATAATCGATTATTCGATTGCAATAATCGATTATATTGCTGATAATAAGGAATTGAATTAACAATCAAATGATAGTAATGATGGTAATCAATAAAATCGATTAATCGAATTGTTAATTGATAAATCGTTATTTGGCAATATCGA